AATATTGGAACATGAAGATGTGACACAATTATTCAAAAAAGTAGATTTCTGTGATTGATATTGAATTAATCAAGTAGGAATAAACAAGAATGATTTAGAACCACAATAATTTTACCAAATTTGGTACGAGACAATATAATATTGGGAGAATTGCAATTTTAGTCTCGTAACTTTCGGTTATGTCTGTTATTAGTCATGTAACTTTACTTGGTTGCAGATTTGACCATTCAACTAATAATACTCCGTAATGTTTTGCAATTTAAGGACTCTTCGGCGCCGGAGACATCTTTTTCGGCGAATTTACAGCCATAAAGTGTATTTTCCGATGGTAAAATCCTTAAATGGTAAAGATTTATTATTTATAGGACCAAATTTGCAACCAAGTAGAGTTACTTGACTAATAATGAGTATAGTCATAACTTACGGGTGTAAAATTGCAATTTTTTTCTATAATCGTAGTGAAACGGACCGAAAAGGAAATATGAGACAATTGTAAGAGTATGTTCAGGAGTTGGGTTTTGGACAGGAGGAGAAGGTTGACAAAGGTTTATGACCCTCCCTTTCATATTTGAGAGTTTTAAATTAAATATGGAGGGATCAATGATTTTGGAGGGCTTTTGTAACCCTCTAAAACCTTTCAAATGCTCAATTTCTCCCTTTCATATGTACACATTTTTTACACTACCAAACGGGCTCATAGATTGCAAATAGCTTCTCTAATTTCATGTTGATACTACGTATTTGTTAACTTCACAGAGAGCCCGTTTGGTGACCTAGATTTTTGGCTTATTAGACTTTTTCAATCAACTTTTTTACCAAACATGTAACTTTTGATTTTGCGCGTTGAATTGTGTGTAGTAATAAGCTAAGACAAAGTAAGGTTGAAGTTACGTTTCTGGTTGTATTGGCGGATGTTGTTTTAGATGATCAGTTTAACTGTTTTTTCATATAATTTTTTCTTTTTTTATTAGTAAAATATATTTTAAATATAATTTTTCATAAATCAGCGAAATCAGTAAATTCTGCCAGAGCTTCATAATTTTCAACAAAATCAGTCAATACAGCTAATTTGGGTATTACCAAACGGGCTTAAATGTGCCTTATTAACAATGCCCTAAAACATGACATGATCTTATGCAGTCTGGATGTTGCAAACCGCCAACGGCATGTGCATATGGTTATGTGAATGACACATTCTGGAGACCCCAAAGGGGAACAAAATCATTTTTAATCGTTTTCATAACCAATTAGGCCCTGAATATAAAACACTTTTGTAACATCTATCGTCCGATTCATACTTATTCCAATTATATACCTGTGATTCACAATGAAAAAACAAAGATAGGATAAGACTTGCTCGTAGAATATGTCAAAACTTACAAAAAACATCATATAATTGTAACAGAAATATTTACAATTGAGTGAGATGAATACCAACTCTTTGATATGTGGGATGTGGAACATGAGCATGTTCTGAAACAATATAAACAATTGAATATAAAACTGCAATGTTACCCAAATCCAAAGGATCAGCATATATAAAACTCCGTACAATCTATTGGTTGAAACTTTTAATCCAAGTTACCCAAATCCAAAGGATCAACATCAAATATTGATCGAGTATCCAAGATATGGAACAATAATTTTAGACCCGCCAAATACCTATCAAATTTGGAACCATAAATAAGTTATAGCCGGTCAGAGTTTGGAATACTACGTTCTCGAATACTACGTTCTCGACTTGCACAGCTAATGTTTGAATTTCTTCATTCACTTTCCGATGCCGGATTGATTCAACAACCTAATAATATAATTCATTGACTATACGCCCCTTTTGCAATGTTACACACTCCAATCGCATAAGGTAATTAAAGTGGCCTTTGGTCTTTGTGGTTTTCCTTACCCGTCCTTTTCTCTAGTTTGATTGAATTGCACAATCTCTCAATGGTTCGTTGTCTCAAGTAATCCATAGTATATATGTACTATATCCGTCCCAAAAAATTTTCTCACTTACCATTTCGGGTTGTTCAAAAAAATTCTTCTCGTTTCCCTTTTTGAGAAGGTTTATGTGGCCACCATTCATATCCCTTTTTCTTACTCAACCACAATCACACATTTTCACTTTATTTCCACTTTTTTAAACTCCGATTCAAGTCAAACTCGGAAGAATTTTCTGGGATAGAGGGAGTATTTGATATTTTCTCGCTTACAATCATATTGTGTAATAATCAAATTTGTGATTTTGTTTCTTATTGTAAAAGTCTGACTGATGATATATATATTTCGTATTTATGGAGGGTGGGTTTAGTTTAACCAGGTCTTTTTTAGCTCAAAAGCAACTGCCCAGCTGAAATAAAAATTCTGATTGGGTTCACTTCGTCTTTACAAAATCAAAACAATGATTTGATTGGTTCGATTTAGCTTATGGTTGATAGGGGCAAATTGGGGCAAATTTATCTCTCTTCGGGAAAGTTCCCGAAATAGGACTAAAAGAGTTTGAAAATTCCAAAATAGGACTGACATGTTTTTATTCCCAAAATAGGAGTGATTATTGCCAAGTTTCGAAAATATTGTCATGTTTGAAGTCTGGTACTGCCAAAACATGTCAGTAATTAGTCCTGTTTTGGGAATAAAAACATGGCAATCCTATTTTGGAATTTTCAAACTCTTTTAGTCCTATTTTGGGTAATATCTCTCTTCTTATTAAACTTTTAATATTTGTCAGTATTTTTTTACGATTTTTCTCATGTATGTCATAAATTATCATACGCAATACTCCTTCCGTCTCAAAAAGGTTGGTCAAATTTTCATTTTTAGATGTCTTAAAAAGATTTGTTATTTTCATTTAAAGTAAGAAATATGTGGCTAAAGTTAATTCTCTTTCCTCTGCACAAATTTTAACTACACATTTTTTACTTTATTAATCCACGTGAAAGTCAACTTTGGTCAACCTTTTCGGGAAGGAGGGAGTATAATTTATAAATGTGAATATATGATAACATTTAAAAAACTAAAATGTTGATTGGATACTAATTTATTATTTACTGAAGGTGATATATAATAAGTGTTTGTGTATATGTGTGTAGTTATGTATTTGCTGAAGTATATTTGTCCCATATTAGTAATATGAAGTATGAGCTATAAAGATATTATTATGTTCCCTTCATTTTTCAAATATGTCAATGCACAACATTGATTTTTGATGTCTCATCCTTAGGAAAAAATAAAAAAAAATCAGATTTTGAAAATGTAGAATGAGATAAATTTAATCATATTCTTAAAAAATTAAGGAAAAATTCACATGATTAATCCCACTTTTTCACATTCTTCTAATATTAATCCCAAGTATGAATAATTCAAAAATAATCTAATTTATACCAGGTATCTTCCGAAAATAGACTGATAACCGGAACATACAATTTTAACAGGTTACCGATGACGTGTTCGAATATGATTGGGTTAAGTATTTTTGCTTTTCTTTTTTCTTTCTTTATTTTTCTTCGCTTCCACCGACCCTGTCTTCTCCTTCGTTCCCTCTTCTCAACTTTCAATCTCCTCTGTTCTTCCTCCCCTTCTTCTTAATTTCTTCACAACTTCCTCCCCTTCTTCTTAATTTCTTCACAACTTTTTCGATTTCTGCCTCTTATTTTCTTCCTTATTTCGAATTCATGTGCAAATTTTCACCCGCCAGCAGCTTCCTTCCCCTTCTTTGAAATTTCTGGAGAAATTGAGGAAAGAACGTTGATAAAACATCTAGATCGGAGGAATTTGGTCAGATCAGACTTTAGTGCCACCATCCTTGTCGGTCGTCTCCCTCTTCCATTTTATTATTATAAAACTCTACAAAAATCGTTTTATTTGGTGCCATTGAGGCATCCAAGGGCTTCCGGTGGCACAATGAAGAAGATGATATGTCAACAGCTGGACATTTAGAAAACCCGTCTCCTGTCATTAGCCCGTTACTCGATCTGTAAGGTTCATGGACCATCCATCATCACGTTTCCTCCCAGATTCGAAAGATGAGGCTTGGAACGATGAAGCTTTTCTTAGGAAGAATAGTCTCCTGCCATACGTACCATATTAGTGCTCCTCTTTTATTTTTCTTGTATAGCTTACCGTTTTAGCAGGTTGTGGGTAACCCGGATCAATTTGAGAAGATCTCATATTAACTTCAGATTATTTTAGAATTAAGAATATTTGGGATTAATATTGGAATAACGTTAATAGTTGGGATTATTCTTGTGAATTTATCCAAAAATTAATTTATGATACATTAATACATAAAATGCGGTCAAATTACAGCATGTAAATAGTACGGAGTATAAAATTTCGAGGTTCTGTCCTTGAAGTTGCATAAAATGGGTCAAATAAGTCCTTATATAGGAGGTTCTGTCCAGCCGTCGCCATTTGGGGCGGTTCCTGGTGGAATGTTTTGATGAAATCTTTTGAGCATCTTATTCATTAAGTCTAGTTTACTCATATTATTGTATAAGGTTAAAAACTGCTCTAAAGTATAAAATCCACAGCTACACTAAGAATAACTTTATTGAACTGAACAAAATGAATAAAAAATGATAAAAACTTACGTAGTACTACCTCCGTCCCACTAAGTTTGGGACAAAGGGGTGTGTCATAGTTTTTAAGAAAAAATAAAATTGTATGGTTGGTATTGAATTGATAAAGTATGAATAAAGTAAGAATGAATTTTAACCAATCAAATATTTCCTAATATGGTATGAGACAAACTTAATGAGATGGACGAAAAAGGTAAAATGGGACAAAGTTAGGGACTTATGGGGACGGAAGGAGTATTTTATACGGTGTACCAGCATAGATTAAAAGAGATTTACATTCATAATAATCTCATAAAAGAAGTACTGAATTCTATACATATATCCAGACAATCTCAAATAAGTCATCAACTCAAATGTAAAAGTCAAAAGTTAATGATCGAATTGAATGGTGATTGTCAAATAACATGGTCGTTAGTTAGCTGCAAAAAAAAACATTGGTCGTTAGTGGGGGCTTAAAATGATCCCATAAAAGAACTTTGATGGGAAAAATTCGTCCAAAAAATGCTTTAACATCTAAAATGATCTTGACATAATGACATACTACATATAGTCAATTACCCTTAATTTTCCACGGTGTATTTTTCTTCTATTTTCTACTTTGTTCATTTTCTCTCCTACTTGTTCTACACTATATTCATGCCTATGACTACTTATTTACTTCTTAAATATTGTGTCAAACTCTTATTTCCTTCTTAAATATTGTGTCAAACTCTAGATCTTTTAAAACTTTAATTTAACTATGTTATTCTCATATAAACTCCTATATGCAACAACCTAACGGTCTTTCCACTCAATTCACCTGTCACTGACGCCTTTCCAGAAAGCCAACCTTTCCCAAGCTCTTTGATCAGACTCACCAACCACAGGAAGCGCGCTGATCTGAGAAAAAGAAAGAGTGAAAACATAATCCGATCGGTAATGGCTAGCTTAGCCTTCAGCAGTAATAGCTGCAAAAACCCATGCATAGCCCTAATGAACTACTTAAGCTTCCTATCCGCCATCCCCATCCTGGTCGGCGGGGTGTGGGTCAGAAGCAGAGCTAAAAGCACCGACTGCTTCGAGTTCCTGCACTGGCCCATCATCCTGATCGCCGTCGCGATCATGGTCGTCTCCGTCGCAGGCTTCGCGGGTGCCTTTTACGGGATCGACATCCTCATTTACGTCTACGTGTGGTGCACGTTCGGCATCATGGTCGTCCTCGTCGGGTTCCTCTTTTTCGCATACGGCGTCACGGAAGGGACGGGCCGGCCGGTCTTGAACCGGATGTATATGGAGTATTTCCTCCTGGATTTCCCGGACCGGTGGCTGAAGGAGACGGTCACCAGTCCGGGCAGTTGGAGGGAGATCAGTTACTGTGTTAGGGGTTCTGGGGTTTGCGGGAGTATGATGAGGAGGGGTGGTAATGCAATTCCTCAAACTGCAGCTGTGTTTTACAGAAGAGAGCTTAGCCCTATTGAGGTACCATACATAATTACACATATGCCCTTTTCTCAGTCACCAGGTTAGTGGTAAATCCAAATATTTCAACTTTAGGGTTCACCAGAATTAGTTTACTATCAAGAGATCAATAATTTTGCCATAATTGATCGCTAAAGAGGATTACAAGTTAATTAAATTAAAGTGTACTAATATGACTATTATATGCTTGTAATAATCCCCTTAAAAGGACTTATTTGACACTATTAAAAGTGCGGGTTAAAACTTCATCAATTAAGAGTTAATGAGTCTTATTCTAGCTAGTAGAAAATAATGGTAGTCATATTTGGTTCAATGTATGCCTGTATCTATCTTTTAATCCTATTTAAGTATTTTCTCTTTCTTCAGTTCATTAATTAGAAGTTTCCCCAGTAGAGGATCTAAATTTTCTATGTTAGTATGGTACCTTTTGTTTAGTTGTAGACTACCAAAAAAACACGGAATAGACAGAGATTTTGGCAGGGATTATGCCAAATTCGTGCAAAAAAACTTTGACACGAGCTATTTGACACGAAAAATCAGTAATCCGTGCCAAATTTTCATGCCAATCGTGTGTTTTTTTGTAGTGGTACATGCTAATAACATGACTACAGATTGGAAAAAATGATCACGTGAACTGTAAAAAACATGACTAAAGAACAAAATGTGTATGAGTCTTGAGTCCAATAAAAAGAGTACGAATCGAAGAAAAATGGAGCTTAGCAAATGTATAAAACTTAAGGCTCCTTTGGTACCGTGATGAAGTGTGTAAAACGACATTTGAACTTTGAAGCTTTGAAGGGTTGCATCATGTACACTTGTACAGTCTATTCAAATGAGTATTGGATCTACTACTGAATGAGTATAAACACGAAAAATTACTATCATCATCGCATTAATATTGGAACATGAAGATGTGACACAATTATTCAAAAAAGTAGATTTCTGTGATTGATATTGAATTAATCAAGTAGGAATAAACAAGAATGATTTAGAACCACAATAATTTTACCAAATTTGGTACGAGACAATATAATATTGGGAGAATTGCAATTTTAGTCTCGTAACTTTCGGTTATGTCTGTTATTAGTCATGTAACTTTACTTGGTTGCAGATTTGACCATTCAACTAATAATACTCCGTAATGTTTTGCAATTTAAGGACTCTTCGGCGCCGGAGACATCTTTTTCGGCGAATTTACAACCATAAAGTGTATTTTCCGATGGTAAAATCCTTAAATGGTAAAGATTTATTATTTATAGGACCAAATTTGCAACCAAGTAGAGTTACTTGACTAATAATGAGTATAGTCATAACTTACGGGTGTAAAATTGCAATTTTTTTCTATAATCGTAGTGAAACGGACCGAAAAGGAAATATGAGACAATTGTAAGAGTATGTTCAAGAGTTGGGTTTTGGACAGGAGGAGAAGGTTGACAAAGGTTTATGACCCTCCCTTTCATATTTGAGAGTTTTAAATTAAATATGGAGGGATCAATGATTTTGGAGGGCTTTTGTAACCCTCTAAAACCTTTCAAATGCTCAATTTCTCCCTTTCATATGTACACATTTTTTACACTACCAAACGGGCTCATAGATTGCAAATAGCTTCTCTAATTTCATGTTGATACTACGTATTTGTTAACTTCACAGAGAGCCCGTTTGGTGACCTAGATTTTTGGCTTATCAGACTTTTTCAATCAACTTTTTTACCAAACATGTAACTTTTGATTTTGCGCGTTGAATTGTGTGTAGTAATAAGCTAAGACAAAGTAAGGTTGAAGTTACGTTTCTGGTTGTATTGGCAGATGTTGTTTTAGATGATCAGTTTAACTGTTTTTTCATATAATTTTTTCTTTTTTTATTAGTAAAATATATTTTAAATATAATTTTTCATAAATCAGCGAAATCAGTAAATTCTGCCAGAGCTTCATAATTTTCAACAAAATCAGTCAATACAGCTAATTTGGGTATTACCAAACGGGCTTAAATGTGCCTTATTAACAATGCCCTAAAACATGACATGATCTTATGCAGTCTGGATGTTGCAAACCGCCAACGGCATGTGCATATGGTTATGTGAATGACACATTCTGGAGACCCCAAAGGGGAACATGGGCAGCTGACCAGGACTGTGGAAGATGGAACAATGCCCCAGAGCAACTATGCTACAACTGTGACTCATGCAAAGCCGGTGTGCTGGGCAGCCTGAAAAACAGCTGGAGGAAGGCTTCTGTTATCAATACCATCATGCTGTTCTACCTAATGGCTGTATATGTGGTGGCATGTACAGCGTTTAGGCTCAAGAAAGATGAAGAACCTTATTATGATGATGATGATGAAGTTAAGCCTGAGAAAGAAGGGACATCACATTATAATGGTGATGAAACTTATAAGTCTGGGAAAGAAGGCACATCACATTATAAAGGTGATGATGAAAATGAGTTTGAGAATGATGGGTTGCCTTATGTTGGTGATACCAAGAATGGAAAAGTTCATTATAGCAAAAAGTTCAAAATAGAAGATGAAGAGATGGTCGAGAAGTGAAAAGTGAGGATGGGAGAGGCATTGATCGAATATGTATTTTTGGTTATTCTTATCTTTCTAAGATCAAGGATTTATGAATGCATGCCTTTTATCATTTTGTAAAATGAAGAATGTAGATTGCTGAAAGGTAACCTCCATTGCGCTCGGCCTTGTAATTCTTTTACTTTTCATATATATAAAGAGAAATCATCATGTCAGGCCGGCTTGACCGGGAGAGCCGTCCGGCCGAGCCCTTTTGGTGACCTTCTTGGTGGAATTTTTTGATGAATTTTTTTGAGCATGTTTCTCCTCAAGTCTAGTTTGTCCATACCAAATTTCAGCTCAACATTCGATCGGGAAGGCATTCAAATCTTTTTTTGAAGTTGACTGCGTTTTTATATGTATATTTTGACGCAGTCAACTTCAAAAACATATTTGAATGCCTTCCCGATCGAATTTTGAGCTGAAATTTGGTATGAACAAACTAGATTTGATGAGGAACATGCTCAAAAAATTTCATCAAAAAATTTCACCGGGAAGGTGCCCAAACGGGCTCGGCCAGACGGAGGTTCCCGTCAGGCCGGCCTGACAAGAAGAGTTATATATATATATATATATATATATATATATATATATATATATATATATATATGCTTTTGAAAATTCTAACTCATGTAAACTCAATTACATGAGATGCTTTAGAAAAATATCAGACAAACTCATTATTATTCTTTTTAATAAAAAAAAAAAGAAATTGAGTTATAAGTTATAGCTTAATTTTTTGTGTGTAAAATGTTGAAGCTACCATTTAGATTTTGAAAGCTCTTAAATAGTAGATTCCAATGTTTTATCAACAACATCACATAATATGCAAAAAAAAAAAAAATTCTAGGGTGTTGAGTGTCGGTATTTCATGTTTGGAATCTTGAGTTGGTGGGAGGGCCCCTCATCAATTTGATGATTCTAATGTTAGATACCGCTAGTCAAACACCGCTTTAATGTATGATCAATGGTCATATTATTCAAAAGTATATGGTCTTCAAGTTTCAAATGGGTATTTAAGTTTAAGGGTGTTCTGAGTAATCAGAAAATGCATTTAGTGATTTTTACCGAAAGTGTAAATTCTTTTAAGTGATATAAAAGTCTATTATTTAGCTATTTTCTCAAAAGTATGTTTCGGAAGAAATTTTGAGTTTTAAAATGTCCCAATGAAATTTTCGAGTACTCTCAACTTTGGCACTGAGATTTAAACAGTGTTGTACATTCTTTTTACCAAGGTTGTCCTCATATGCATTTTTACCATAAAATATATTGAGTGCCATCACTTAAAGTTTCTTACTATGACTGGCCAATAAAGTCTATATACGTTATTCAAAAGTTTGTAATGGAAGTTGGTTCTTAGCAGTTAGATTAGAAGAGATGAGTGGAAGGATTAGATTAAACTAGTTTTTTTGTAAATCACGAGTCTTAGAACCTGTTGCACACTACGATATGGGTATTTGTGAAGTGTGTTTCCATATAGTATGATCTAGAGTATGAAGAATTCAATAGAATAAAGAATATGGTACCATCAAGCTCCCTTGTAGTCATTATGTACAAGTATTTGTAGACAGTATCCCAATGAGCTCTTGCTAGTAGCAAATATGCTCTTTGAGTTATAGAGGTATCAGTGAGACTAAAGAGTATAATGAGTTTGGCACCTCAAACAATTCTTTTGTTATGAGTCATCAGCAACTCAAGGGCTTGAACCCCAACAGTTGAGCAAATTATAAATTATATAATGTGATTCTTTTATGGAGTAAATTAGTGTCAGTCAAAGTTAAAAATATATGAAACCAGTAAGAAGGACCTAGCTATTGTGTTAGATTTTCTTTTGAAAGATATTAGTGCATGTCCTTTGATCAGCTTATTAGATCCTTTGATCAGTTATTTAGATTCTTTGATTAGCTTATCATTTACATTGAAAATCTAAAGAGCAAAATTAAAAGAATTTTGTAAAGTAATTTAAAACAAGTATTGAGTTTGCTGATCGGGGGAATCATTTAAAAAAAAAAAGTCTAAGTAAGTCCCAGACAAGGCCTAATGCGGTTTATTAAGTTTAGATTCAAATATGTTTTACTAAGCAAGTATTGAGTTAGTTGTATTATGGTTGTTAATTATTATTCACTAATGAGAAATTAGGTATTACTGTTTGGCTACCTTATTATTTTCAAAAGCTATGAAAACTTTACCACTATGAGAGAGCAATGTTTTTTTTCAAAAGCAAATAGTTAGGAGTTAGAGGTTTAGTAGGAACTGTGTTACTGAAAAGTAGTTAAAAAAAAATAGTACTTTCCTTAATTTTTCTACAGCTGAATAAGAAGTTAAGAGATTAAAATCATAAAGTCATTGGTGAAAACAAAAGAATGCCTGTTGTCAAATATTTTGCGTCAGACATTTAAGTGTTTGACAACGTCAATTTTGTTAAACAAAACATTTATGAGGTCTTTTGTTTAATAAACATGAAAATTTGAAACTAAGCAAATAATTTCTTTTCCTCCAGATATCAAGACTATTAGCTTCAATTAATAAATTGTGTTCAAGGATTGAAGGAGACTGATGCTCATCTTATTAGGAATAGCTATTTTTTTTTTAAGCTCAAATTTTATGATAAAAGGAAATTCTAATTACAAACTAGATTCAGCTTTCATGACTACATTAGCATACTAATCAAGTAAGTTAAAATTCTGAGTTCCAAAAGTATAGGACCACAATAGGGTCTTTTTGTTTTATGAAAAGATAAAGATGGAGTTTAGTAGTTTAAAGCTATTTCAAACCTCAAAAAAAAAAAAAAAAAAAAAAAGATTTTCTTTCGAAATAATAGGTAAGTCAAATTAAATATTAGTAGACTCGGAAGTGTAATATTGGACCAGCCTTGATGCTTAATTTTACTTTGAGTAAAATTCTTCAAAGGAATGCATCTGTTTAAACTCTCTAGAGAAGCAACGCTTCATTCATACTGGCCGCATACCGCCTCTATTTTCCCTCCAAAGAATTCCAGTTCTCCTTCTCAAAATTTTCTCCTCCTCAAAATTTTCTCCTCTTTCAATCGGCCGAACCAAGCTACTGATTGAGATTCGGATTACCATCTCTAACTAGTGAAAGTTTGTTCTCCTCGACAATAAACTGGTTTCAGATATTAATTTTCATATGCAGACCTTACTATTCTTTATTTTGCCTCTTCTCTAATTATGTTTTGGCATGAGGAAAAGGTAAGACCTGTTTTGAAAACCCAATAGAAGTATAAGATATCCATGCTCCACAAAGTTTAAATGTTTCTGTTTAAGGCAGATCAATATCCTTAATTAAAGGGTTTTAAGTTGTTTAACAAATTGGAAGAAGCTTGATACTTAAGAAAGGAAATGTAAATTTTAATAATGAATTGTCTACTACATTAGAGGCATGGTCTTATTTTGTTCTTCGTGGAGTTTTATTTCAAAATATGGACAGTTTTATTGGGGGTGCGAAAGCATTTTTTTTACAGCTACATAGTTGGTTTCTTAAAATTTTAGTCCTGAAATTCAGGCAGGCAGAACCTCAAACTTGAGTTTATATTTTAAGCCCCTAAGATGTTTTAGTTTGGAGATATTTCTAAATTACATTGTGTTTCTTTTTCATTTTAATAAGCAATCAGGGGAAAGTGATTAACGTATATATTCTATGTTGTGAACTTGTGAGTTTGTGTTGTAGTGTTAACAGAAAACATGAGAACATGTAAGCAAGTTTTCTTATTAAGGAAAATTATTAAGAAGTTGTTCTTGTTGAGATCATTATGTAGTGTGAAGTAGTAGTATGTCTCCCCAATAAGAAAAACATGACCAGACTGGTAACTAGAGAAAATGTCAGCATGAAAATGAAGCATCAAAGTCACATGCTCCTGAAGTAAGTAACCTTGTAAAAGATATAAAGTTATTGTCGTTGCATTAAAACCATGCGAGAAGTCAGAAAAGAAATAATGTGAGACATCGTTATGTCGAGTTGTTCTAAGTTTCGAGGACGAAACTTTTATAAGGTGGGAGGGGTTGTAACACCCCGATTTTTGTGATCTAGTTATAATAATCATTATTATTATTATTATTAACTTAAGTCAGTTAAGTAAGTTTCTTCTATGAATAATGTGATATATTATTTAACATGTTTTATTGTGGCAGGTAACGTTGACTGGTAAGCTCTTATTTTTTAAGCAAGGATAATTTGTTTTTTTAAGTTCAATTAGTTATTTTTGAAAAAGATTATATTTTTTTTCTTTAGCTACATCAGAAACATTTTTCTTATAACGTGAGACCCAATCAGTTATTTTGGCCCAAATCGGTTGCCAATTCACTCAACTCAAATGAGTTGGACTCTTCCTTAGTGAAGATATAAAAGTAAACATCCTAGGGCTTTGTTTGTTCTTTTTATTCTGGCCGCCAAAGCCTTCTACCCTGCTCAGTCGATTTCTTCGTCAAAGGTTTTCTCATCGCGTAAGTATGATTTCTCAACTTCTTGTTTTTCGGTTGAACAATCGGGTTGATCGATAAAAAAGATTGGTTTCATAGTATCTTCTAGTTGATTTTGATTTTGGGGTTTAAGTGTTTAGATCAAATCTTCCTTTACGAAATTGCTAGTGTGCGGTCTCCACCAGGTTTTCTTCTACAAAATTTCCCTTCTATTGAAACTTCATGTTTTCTTTTATCCATACATTCAATGAGTACAGGAGTAATTTTGAGTTTCTTGTGTAGTTTTATTTCTCCGTAACAGTAATTACTCCAGGTCCAGGCTTCCAGCAAGTTTTGACTTTTGCCAAGTAATAAAATCTTTTATAATGTTTGGTCTTCCTTAAAATTTTATGTGGTGGGTTTCGGTTTTATTCAAATTAGTTGGACCAGTTTGTAAACCACAAAAGTGGGAGCCTGATTTTTAAGTCGGTTCACTGTGTTGCTGCTCTGCTTTCTTTTCATTTTAGCAGTAGGGATTAGTGTCTCCCTGCAGTAGATTCTAATTATACATATATCTTAATATATAACTAACAAGGCTGAAACTCATGTGCTATACGTATATTATTGAGCTAGCTTAGCCTTCCCATTTTTAATTATAGTAGTTATGTATCAGTAACAGATCCCTATGGCC